CTAAACCTCCAATAATAGTAACCAAGTTATTTTAAGATCCTAGACCTCTCCAATGTGGTAATAAGACACCGATTTTAATAAGCAATAATAAAGACTGATTGTGAAATACAATCCAGAGCTCAGCTACTAAGGGAAATGAAGCAATCAAGACCCTAAGCTCCTCTTAAAGCATTTTCTTCTCAATTTCATAAATTTTATCCCTATCTCCGCTAATGCATTTAACGATTAAAAAGGACCCTTTTCCAGAGTTCATCAATTCGCTGGCGAATTTGACACGCATTTCGGTCTATTAACCAGAACAAACCATATCAAAAAGGATTCTCAAGGCAACCAGTAGCCAGTGGCAGCCAAAAAATATCTCCGGCTATCTATCTTTGGTTTAAAATCGCCAAAAAACGTGCCATGGATTGAGTTATGACTGGCGAGGACGAGGGCTGACAGTGGCGAGGGGAGAAGGTAGAAACAGATAGCCCAAAGGATCTTATCCTCAGCGACTTAGGCCGCGTTAGTCCTTTAATATGCCAAGATTGACGTCGATTATGCATTAATAGGACACGCACTATAAATAACGCGCCTTTGGCCCTAGCGAGCGTCCTGTCGTGACGTCTATGGGCCTAATGAAGGCTTTTTTGCAGCATTCAGGATTTCAGGATCTCGGCATTTCAGCATACGTTCCACGTAGTCGCCTGGGGGGAACGAGTGAAAAAAGAGGCAGCTAAAGAAGTGCACTGAGGGAAAAGTAAGATGGCTTTTATTAGAGCTAGGCAATTGAAGGATACTCAGGGAGTCAAAGGCAGAAATGGTAATGAACTTTTGCATACTCCCATTTATCTTAAAATCTACATCCACTTCCGAGGATTCTTAATTTCCTGCCACTTTGTTTGCCGGTTTTTCCGACAGTGCACTAGGCGTCACCACCCATTTCGAATTTTGCGCTGACATTGATTGATTATAAATCGGCATACATTGCAAATCCAAAGAGAGGACAATAACAAACCAGGCTCGACTGCTCCTTGTGTTGCTGCTGCTGTTGCTTATCCTTTGTGTTGCCGCTGCGGTTGCCTTTGTTTGGCCTGTGACAGCTTTTAATCTGGCACGAGGCGCAGCAGCAACACCAACACTAGAAGTAGCAACAGCAGCAGCAGCAACAATAATAATAGCAGCAGCAGTGGCAGTGGCAGCAACAACAATGGCCAGAACAGAGTGCCAAAGTGGTTGGGACTGTGCGGCATATTTGAAAATCACTTTAGTTCATATTTCGGACGCACAGCCTGGGACCTCAGCCAGTTGTCATTGCGTCCTAATGCCTGTCCGGAGCGTTAATGATGCGGTTGCTGGTCAACCGCACCAGTAGCCGCAGTCGCACCCGCTCTATTGGAGGATTCAGTCTGAACACTGGCTGGGGCGGGAGGCCCTGGTGGGGTGGTGGTGGCGATGTTGCTTGCCATCACCATCCATCGATCTCCGCCCGCTTGTCCTTCACGCAATTTACATAATGGCCGGCTCCTGATGCAGGGAGAGATGCTTTCAGCAACAAAAACAACAGCGCCAATGGGCAGCCGTTGATGGCACGTTTTTGATTTCAATTGCTATTGCCAGTAGTTTCACTTGACTTTATGTTCTCCTGCTTCTCATCCCTAAACGAGTGCACTTAAAAAAAGAGGGAGTTAATAAAGTTATGGTAATTATGCCCACACATAACATACATACATACTTGTGCTAGGAAGTCTATGGAAGCGGGAAATTATAGGGACCTAAACATACAGGCGCTTTAGAGTTTAGTTTCGATAATTTGGCTTTAATATTACTTAATTCTTTAGACTAATTTAGTAACAAATTGTTACCAATTGTTATATGTTACTAGATGAAAAGACTTGGTCATCCTTTAAGCAATTTTCATTCTATGAAACACACTTCTTGCTTAAACTTAAAGTTATTCTTTATTATTAGGAATATCTTGCTTATTTTTTGAAAAACAATGTCTTTTCCAGACTTTTGTTTTAGCTCTAGATTTGACTCAGAACTTTGACTAAACCCTAGACTACTCTCTAAGCTTATCGAAACAAAATTAGATTTTCCTCAAGTGTACATTTCTATCTCCTTGATTTTTGCTCTGCTGTGATGTCTGGCCTATATAGGTTGCTTGGCGCCATTTTATGTACGTAGCAAAACAAAAGTTATGGCCCGATTTTCCCTATCGCCTATGTCTCTCGGCCCCGCCCAATTTTTTGGCTACGGCTCTGGGGTTTTGGGTCGGGGGCGTTCTGGTAACAAGTGGGACATTTGCCAGTTTGCCTTGTCCTGTTGTTATTGTCCTTGTTGTTGATGTTGCTGGCAGCAATAAAAACAAGCAAAAAATGTTGACGCCACCCTTTTTTTCCGGCTGTCGTCTTCGTTCCCTTTTGGTTTTAGTTTGCTGTTGGTACAAAGTTACGCATCTAATAGGAAATCGGCATAAGTATATGTGTACACAATGGAAATCCTAGTTTTTCTTATCCCATTCCCAAGCCCAATTCCAATCCCAATCCCTATCCCGAGACCCAATGATAATTTTAAGCAAACGAGCCAGCATCGGAGAAGGAGGACTCAAAGTCAATTACGTGGCGCTTTCACAAATCTTTCCAGCCGCCAGGACAATCGTGTTGAGGACTCGGGTGTGGGGTATTAAGGAAGTTGGGGATGCTATGGCAAATTAATAGAGAACACCCGCACACCCCCCACACGCACACACTCTCACACATGAGCTCGTAAAATGTAATGTCATAAGTGCTGCGCTGAACCTAAAACATTCCGCTTAACGCAACCTCCATACCATTTCGATGGCCTCCAACCCCCACTCAGGTTTTCTATCCTCCATTCCGTAGTCTGATAATAGCCATGTGAGAATCCCAGCCAGGAGTGTCAGGACTTTGGGATGCCCAGTGTTTAAAGACAGATTCCAAATACTCTTAATCTTTAATAAAACTGGAAAAGTGAAAGGAATTGGCTCGGTAATACCTTAAACTTTAAAGTTTGAAGTATGGGATTATCGACTTTTCTAGGAAATTACTCTTCTCCACAAGTATTTGGAATATTTAGAAAGCAAATAACTCAGAATCCTTTTAGGGGTAGGGTAGGAAATCAGTTTAATGTTAACCGATTTTCAGGATCATCTCAAAAAAGGAGAGCTCCCTATATCATAAACCTATGATACAAGTTCTTTATCTTTGGGGTTTATATTTTCAGAATTATAGAATAAAATCCTGGGAGAACCAATGTTTCTAATTAATTTACAAGTAATTAAAGAAATGTAACCTTCTCTATCATTCTACTTATCGAAGTTAAAAACAATCCGTGATAGCCATATGCCCCGAAATCCGTAAGCCAGCTTAATTCCCGGGAAGTGGCTTTAATGACAAGGGTAAACTTATTTCAACCTAACCGCCTTCCATGCATCCAACATACCCTTAGTGTCGCCAGAGAAAGTAGCTTCCTCCACTGGAGGCATCTCTTTCTCCGTCTCCGTCTCCGCCTCCGTGTCCTTCGCTTTCGTATTTTTTCCGGGGGATGGAGTAAAATATTCGGATTAGTTATGCTGTTGGTCTGCCCCGGGCGGTGTCTGCCCGGCTTCCTGGGGGTGAGTGCGGGCTGGCTTGGGTCTTTGTGTCCTCTTGCAGGACTTCATCTTCATCCTGGACAAGGACTATAACTAAGTCCATGGTTATGTATTGTAGTTTCCTGTGCTGCTGTTGCTGCATTCATTGCTCACAAATTGGCAGGCAACGCCGAGGGCTTCTGCACTTGTGACCACCGCCCACCGACCATCGACCATGGACCACCCATCACCTATCACCCGTCACCCATCAAGTAACTGTTGCTGCTCCTGGCTCCTGTTGTTCAGTCAGTTAGTGGCTTATTTGTAGGCAAACAGAGTACCGGCCTCGGGTTCCATCTAGTTCATAGATTTATCTAAAATAAGTGAACCATCTAATTGTTCAATAAGTTCATCCTGGCCCGGGGCTCGGGGCTGGCGGACACGGTGGCCCCCGACAGTGGTCGGAGCTTTTGGTTCTTGTTGCTTGTTTAGAATATCCTGGGAATGAATAGCCAGCTTAGGCAAATGGAATCCCCACTCCAGTCCACGCCCGCAGGCTCCAACCTCTAGACGTGCTTAAACCCAAAATTAGGGGTGGTTACAGTGGGTTGGATACCCAGTTTCCCTCTCAACAGCCTTCGTCTCTGGCCTTCTTACGGGCCATAAAATTTAAAAGCGAGCAAAGCATTTTAGCTCTGGTGCAATTTATTAGGCCGGCTCATCGCGCCGCATTTCGGGCCTTTGCGTAACAATTGCCTTCATCTGTTGATAAATCCCTGGCATGGCACCAAGTAAATTGAAAATACACACCCACAACCACACCAGCACCAGCCCTCGCACCCGCACACACACGAGGGAAGGTGGAACTTTTGCCTCCAATTCAGATTCCGATTCCTATTCCGATGTGCAGCCAACTGTGTCGCCGTTCTAATTATCCACGCACATGTCTTCCCTGCCAAAAAGCGTTAAACAGTCGAGCTTCTCTAACTTTTACTTGAAGGGAAAATTAGAAGCCCAGAGAAATGTGTACATTTTCACGGCGCCAGAGGCTTGACTGTACTTCCATTGAGCCGGAGACCGGACTTTAAGCCAGCTTTTAGGGCAAGGACAGAGACAGAAGCTGGTAAAGCAGGAGCTTCCGCTTCTGTCTTTTATGCAACTGCAGTGGCCACCCGCTGGCAGCTTCGGTGGCATTCAAAACAGGAGCCTGGCTGCCACACTGGCCCGCCAGCTGTGCAGCTGCCTCCGCATCCGCAGCCGCATCCGTAAGTGGCGTGAAAGTTATGAATTTTAAACATTTTCTGGCAGGAGCCAGAGAGCTGAAACGCCCCTGCGGCCACGTCCATATATTAGTTTCGGTGTCTTCGGTGGCGTCTGCAGATTTATAGCAGCAGGCCAGAAAATCTGCAATTGTGGGAGCCACTCCTTTTGCAAATATTGAAAGGCGACTTTATAGGGACTACAAAAATGGTACAATAGCAAAACTTTGTCGACTTAAAACTAAAATGTCTTCTCTTCTGTTCATGGCTGACTTCTCAGGGTTTGGCGCTGCCGTTGCGCCAAATGTCCACATCCGTCTGCAGGCATTTGCGGAACTTGTAGTTGACCAGACCAATGGAATACATCGGGTTGGGGGCCTTGTAAAAGTGCAGTCCACGTCCGATTTTGATTATGAAACCATTGCTTAAGCTATAAATAAACAAGAGATAAAGTTAGCAAGTGGTCTTCATTGCTGACGCAGCACTTACTATATTTTGCGATCGTGCAAAGAGTCTTCGTATTTGATGGAGACGGCTATATTTCGGCGCTCCAGGTCGGCTCTGATCTGGCCAAGGTTTGTCTTTTGTTGGTCGGGATACTTCGGATCTTGAGCTTCCTTGGTGATTAGCCGGAAATACTTTAGGTTTGGACAGTTCGTAATGGCTAACTCTAAGAACCTCACAAGGTTCTGATACTGCAATTTGATAAGTTCATTTTGTGGGAAAACTACTCATACTTGGATCTTGAATTAAATATAATTTTGCACGATTCCATATACCATGTTCCTTTCCAAATAGATTTAAGGTAAGATTACCACCGTCTCCTCCCAAACTGATCCTCCCCCGCCCGACTCACCTGATAGTTTTGTGTTATGTAGGGCTCTTCTAGAAGAATCTCAATGGTGTGTTGGTCCATGTACTGACCGAAGACCTGTTCGTAGTCGTAGCCCGTGTCGTTTTCCTCGATGGAGACGTGGGAGACTACCTCACCCAGCATCAGTTTGCCATTGACTCGAGCTTTGATGGCGTCCGCCCGGTCCATGTACTCCTTGATCCGGGTGAGAAACACTTTTCGCTTGGCCTCGTCCGGTTCCCCGTTGACGAAGCTCATGAGTTCGGCAATGCCATCAGTGTAGAGGGTCTGCGCCTCCAGGATCCGTCCACTCTGATCGCACTCCACGGCGCGTATCAATAACTCTTTAGCGTGCATTGCGTTGCTCATCTTGGCATTTCCGTGGAATGTTAAGTACTTTAAGCACCTCTAAAAGCCTACACTTAATCTAATACAATTGATCGGCAGCTGGCAGATAATAAAATAAGCGAAACTAACAACACGACGACAACAAAGGCAGCAGCGCAGTCAGCTGATTTGGTAAACACCCAGGGTTGCCATGAGCGCGAAAGGCAGGGCTGCAACACAGGCGCGTCATCTGTTGCCGACCATTTGCATTTGACTTTGCCGCGTTCCATTGATATTCAAGAGTTTGAATTGGTTAAAACAAAAACATATATTTATTCACTTACGGCTTAACACTCGTTGTGTGTGGGTATAATGTATCTATTATGTATAAGCCTTATAGCCACAATCAACAAAAACGCATGAAGGCACTATATGCATAACAGAAAAAGCTATATCTTTGGCAAAAATCATCCGATTCTTGAGCGGACTACTTTAAACGATTTGTAGATCGATTCTCCACAAATCTGCATCAAAATCTAGGAACCTTATAATTTTTAGATTTTTTGTCAAATTTCCTGGAGGGTCCCCTTCAAAAATCCACAAAAGTGCTTGGAGCCCCTATAGGGCCCACGGGGAAGGCTCTATCTTTGGCAAAAATCATCCGATTCTTGAGCGGACTACTTTAAACGATTTGTAGATCGATTCTCCACAAATCTGCATCAAAATCTAGGAACCTTATAATTTTTAGATTTTTTGTCAAATTTCCTGGAGGGTCCCCTTCAAAAATCCACAAAAGTGCTTGGAGCCCCTATAGGGCCCACGGGGAAGGCTCTATCTTTGGCAAAAATCATCCGATCCTTGAGCGGACTACCTTAAACGATTTTTAGATCGATTCTCCACAAATCTGCATCAAAATCTAAGAACCTTATAATTTTTAGATTTTTTGTCAAATTTCCTGGAGTGTCCCCTTCAAAAATCCACAAAAGTGCTTGGAGTCACTATAGGGCCCACGGGGAAGGCTCTATCTTTGGCAAAAATTATCCGATTCTTGAGCGGACTACTTTAAACGATTTGTAGATCGATTCTCCACAAATCTGCATCAAAATCTAGGATCCTTATAATTTTTAGATTTTTTGTCAAATTTCCTGGAGGGTCCCCTTCAAAAATCCACAAAAGTGGTTGGAGCCACTATAGGGCCCACGGTGAAGACTCTATCTTTGGCAAAAATCATCCGATTCTTAAGCGGACTACCTTAAACGATTTGTAGATCGATTCTCCACAAATCTGCATCAAAATCTAAGAACCTTATAATTTTTAGATTTTTTGTCAAATTTCCTGGAGGGTCCCCTTCAAAAATCCACAAAAGTGGTTGGAGCCACTATAGGGCCCACGGTGAAGACTCTATCTTTGGCAAAAATCATCCGATTCTTAAGCGGGCTACCTTAAACGATTTGTAGATCGATTCTCCACAAATCTGCATCAAAATCTAAGAACCTTATAATTTTTAGATTTTTTGTCAAATTTCCTGGAGGGTCTCCTTCAAAAATCCACAAAAGTGGTTGGAGCCACTATAGGGCCCACGGTGAAGGCTCTATCTTTGGCAAAAATCATCAGATTCTTAAGCGGACTACCTTAAACGATTTGTAGATCGATTCTCCACGGGGAAGGCTCTATCTTTGGCAAAAATCATCCGATCCTTGAGCGGACTACCTTAAACGATTTGTAGATCGATTCTCCACAAATCTGCATCAAAATCTAAGAACCTTATAATTTTTAGATTTTTTGTCAAATTTCCTGGAGGGTTCCCTTCAAAAATCCACAAAAGTGGTTGGAGCCACTATAGGGCCCACGGTGAAGACTCTATCTTTGGCAAAAATCATCCGATTCTTGAGCGGACTACCTTAAACGATTTGTAGATCGATTCTCCACAAATCTGCATAAAAATCTAACAACATAATATTTTTTAGATTTTTTGTCAAATTTCCTGGAGGGTCCCCTTCAAAAATCCACAAATGTGGTTGGAGCCACTATCGGGCCCACGGTGAAGGCTCTATCTTTGGCAAAAATCATCCGATTCTTAAGCGGACTACCTTAAACGATTTGTAGATCGATTCTCCACAAATCTGCATCAAAATCTAAGAACCTTATAATTTTTAGATTTTTTGTCAAATTTCCTGGAGGGTCCCCTTCAAAAATCCACAAAAGTGCTTGGAGCCACTATAGGGCCCACGGGGAAGGCTCTATCTTTGGCAAAAATCATCCGATTCTTGAGCGGACTACCTTAAACGATTTTTAGATCGATTCTCCAAAAATCTGCATAAAAATCTAACAACATAATATTTTTTAGATTTTTTGTCAAATTTTCTGGAGGGTCCCCTTCAAAAATCCACAAAAGTGGTTGGAGCCACTATAGGGCCCACGGTGAAGGCTCTATCTTTGGCAAAAATCATCCGATTCTTGAGCGGACTACCTTAAACGATTTGTAGATCGATTCTCCACAAATCTGCATCAAAATCTAAGAACCTTATAATTTTTAGATTTTTTGTCAAATTTCCTGGAGGGTCCCCTTCAAAAATCCACAAAAGTGCTTGGAGCCACTATAGGGCCCACGGGGAAGGCTCTATCTTTGGCAAAAATCATCCGATCCTTGAGCGGACTACCTTAAACGATTTGTAGATCGATTCTCCACAAATCTGCATCAAAATCTAGGAACCTTATAATTTTTAGATTTTTTGTCAAATTTCCTGGAGGGTCCCCTTCAAAAATCCACAAAAGTGGTTGGAGCCACTATAGGGCCCACGGTGAAGACTCTATCTTTGGCAAAAATCATCCGATTCTTAAGCGGACTACCTTAAACGATTTGTAGATCGATTCTCCACAAATCTGCATCAAAATCTAAGAACCTTATAATTTTTAGATTTTTTGTCAAATTTCCTGGAGGGTCCCCTTCAAAAATCCACAAAAGTGCTTGGAGTCACTATAGGGCCCACGGGGAAGGCTCTATCTTTGGCAAAAATCATCCGATTCTTGAGCGGACTACTTTAAACGATTTGTAGATCGATTCTCCACAAATCTGCATCAAAATCTAGGAACCTTATAATTTTTAGATTTTTTGTCAAATTTCCTGGAGGGTCCCCTTCAAAAATCCACAAAAGTGCTTGGAGCCCCTATAGGGCCCACGGGGAAGGCTCTATCTTTGGCAAAAATCATCCGATCCTTGAGCGGACTACCTTAAACGATTTGTAGATCGATTCTCCACAAATCTGCATAAAAATCTAAGAACCTTATAATTTTTAGATTTTTTGTCAAATTTCCTGGAGGGTCCCCTTCAAAAATCCACAAAAGTGGTTGGAGCCCCTAAGGGCCCACGGGGAAGGCAAATCATCCTTTGGCAAAAATCATCCGATTCTTGAGCGGACTACTTTAAACGATTTGTAGATCGATTCTCCACAAATCTGCATCAAAATCTAGGAACCTTATAATTTTTAGATTTTTTGTCAAATTTTCTGGAGGGTCCCCTTCAAAAATCCACAAAAGTGCTTGGAGCCACTATAGGGCCCACGGGGAAGGCTCTATCTTTGGCAAAAATCATCCGATCCTTGAGCGGACTACCTTAAACGATTTGTAGATCGATTCTCCACAAATCTGCATGAAAATCTAAGAACCTTATAATTTTTAGATTTTTTGTCAAATTTCCTGGAGGGTTCCCTTCAAAAATCCACAAAAGTGCTTGGAGTCACTATAGGGCCCACGGGGAAGGCTCTATCTTTGGCAAAAATCATCCGATCCTTGAGCGGACTACCTTAAACGATTTGTAGATCGATTCTCCACAAATCTGCATCAAAATCTAAGAACCTTATAATTTTTAGATTTTTTGTCAAATTTCCTGGAGTGTCCCCTTCAAAAATCCACAAAAGTGCTTGGAGCCACTATAGGGCCCACGGGGAAGGCTCTATCTTTGGCAAAAATCATCCGATCCTTGAGCGGACTACCTTAAACGATTTGTAGATCGATTCTCCACAAATCTGCATAAAAATCTAATAACATAATATTTTTTAGATTTTTTGTCAAATTTCCTGGAGGGTCCCCTTCAAAAATCCACAAAAGTGCTTGGAGCCACTATAGGGCCCACGGGGAAGGCTCTATCTTTGGCAAAAATCATCCGATCCTTGAGCGGACTACCTTAAACGATTTGTAGATCGATTCTCCACAAATCTGCATCAAAATCTAAGAACCTTATAATTTTTAGATTTTTTGTCAAATTTCCTGGAGGGTCCCCTTCAAAAATCCACAAAAGTGCTTGGAGCCACTATAGGGCCCACGGGGAAGGCTCTATCTTTGGCAAACATCATCCGATCCTTGAGCGGACTACCTTAAACGATTTGTAGATCGATTCTCCACAAATCTGCATCAAAATCTGAGAACATCATATATTTAAGATTTTTTGTCCAAATTTCTGGAGGGTCCCCTTCGAAAATCGATAAAGGAGCATAAAGCCACTATATGGCCACTATATTTGTGTATAATTTTCATATTACAATGAAGCCCAAGTGATGAAAATTTAAATCCGTAAGAACCAAAGGTTTCTGACTGGATAATCTTTTACTTATTTTAGGCTTTTTATTTTGTTTGCAGTATACAAAAAAAATAAAACTCTGGAAAGTATTTCTATTGTAGTACTTGTGGACCGCACCGTACCGCGTTGAATGGCTTCCTTTTATGCTCGAAAGTCGCTTACGAGCAATTACCTGAGAGCGAAAACGAAAGCGTTTTATCGCCAGCCAACAGTCAGACATGCCAACATCGCCAAATTCAATTTCACTAAGCCAAATATTAATTTATTTGTGTTTTCATTTCTGGCTAAGCCCGTGCCAGGTGACCAATGGATTCAGGACGATGTGGAGGAGCGGACTGTGGCTGCGCATCCAATCCAATCGGGGAGTCACCCAAGGAAAAAACCGAAAACGTTTCGTGTAATTTTGAGTATTGGGTGGTTGGGAGGTGGGTTGGTAAGTGGTTGGGTGGCTGGTTGGGTGCTTGATAGCTTCCCGGCCCGGCCTGGCCTGGCCAGGCATGGCTTGGCCCATTCCAACATAGTCCACCCCCGTTCCATTCCCGGAGTCCGTATTTTTATTTATGTCATAAATTTTAAGCCATTGGGAGCTGTGAACGGG